AAATAGGGGCCAATGGAGCTACACTCCATATTGGTGTATCAGTCTCCCATATAGAGCGTTACAGAAGACTGATAAGATTTTCTTAGATATTTAAACATTAATTCAATTTTGGAGTAATTTTTTAGCTCTTATTATTTTTGTATGCTACACAGACTAAGGAGTTGAGTCATGCTCCTCCATTGCAGAGCTGCATGTTCAAACTCATCGGCGCCTGAGAGCTGCACAGTGGGCCCCAGAGCATTCCCAACGGGTTGCGGTAAATTATACCCCTTAAATTAAAAATTTATTTTGACTCTAACTAGTGTCAATTAAACGCTAGTATTCATTATGCAGGATGAGTTCAAGCAGCTCCGGTAGAGCCACTTGGCCGCTCAGGCTCAGGCTTCAGCCAGCAGCAGTAGCAGTCAGTCTACCACTATGCAAACCGAGTACGAGCATTGGCCCAAGCGACAAAGTGGAAGATGGGAAGTGTTTATGGCTTTAGAGTGAACAACATAACCTTTAAAACTGAGCTCTCATGTGGTCCCGTTCTTAGTTCCCTAAGCTTCTCACAGTCAAAACAGGCGACTGCAATGATTGAAGAGATCTGTCAGTTGCAGGAACAGATGCTAGAAGGCCAACATAAAGTCGATGACTATATTGCGTGTATGGCGTATACCATAGCAAATAGTCGGGGCAAGCAGCCGATGACATTCGCGTAGGACGAGAAGGAGGTGGAGGATGAAGATAAATAATAGTTTTTTAATATTTCCCTCTATTTATAAACATTATTTTGAACATTTGTTGTGAAATTTTTTGGATTGACTTTGCTATTTTTATTTGGGATGATATGTGATAATATTTTTATTTTATTAATGATAATATTTAGAGATGTGGTTTGTGATATGACTATGCTTAATGTGGTATGTAATGTGGGATGTGCTTTTATGCAGATTGTGGAAATTTAAATGGTATTCTAAATTTTTTTTTCATGTGTGATATATTTGCATCGGATCCATTTTCGGACACAAAATCCGACAAAAATCCGACGCTAGATCGACAATAATATTTCGTTGTTCTCCGATATTTTTCGACGCAAATGAGATGATAATCCAACGCTAATATTTATCGTCCGATATTTTCAAACAAAAATTTCGACGCAAGTTTCGTATAAACACATTTGCTGCTTATACAATGCAACAACCGATAAAAATTATTTACATTAGAATATTTCAACGTATATTATAGAGAAATAATATTTCCGACCCACGGATTAACATCGAAAAAAATCGGTAGTAAATTAAACGCAAATTCGAAGACAATTTGTGTCCAATCTATTCGACTCAAATATGCTTAATGTTTAATTCCTGTAGTACTTGGTGATTTATTCAGGCTTCTTGAGCCCTTCTACTACAGTGAGAAGCTAATGTCTTTGTGAAGACTGTTGGAAGATCACAATTTGGCAATGGTGGCGAAGAGATAATGATTGAGAGTGATGGTGATGGCAAACAAATAATGATGATTGCTAGTGGTTCTTGTATGCATGAACACCAGATAGAGCTCCAGAGATTTTTAGATCTCTAAGCTCTTCATATCCTCTTCATGTATAAAATGCACCTCTATTTATATTTTTCTTGAGCGATATTTCGATGCTCTTAGTTAAAATCTTAATTTAATGAATAAGGAATGATAGTTCTAAAAAATAATATTTAATGATATTTTAAAATTAAAAAAATTGGGGCAATTACATACCATTCACAAATCAACAACCCTTTTTCATTTATTTTTAAAATTCTCACTCAAATATCAAAATTCACGGTTAAATCCCAACTCATAGTTTTCATTTTTATCAAATCATCAATGATTAAATAATGACACGCAAAGAAACATCGGTTCGGTAGTTCAAAAAATTCACCTCGATGATTAATTTGTAAATATCAAATTTTCAAGGGGTCTTTATCTAATCATCCCTAAAAAAATTAGAAATTTCTAATACATTATATAGTCCATAATTTGTGTAGCCAAGCTTACCCTCTAGCCTTCTACTTATGTACTATACCAACTCTTCCTAGGATTCTCTCCTTGTCCCCATGTAGCCCTCATTTGGTTCCCTTTCTCTCTAGTTATATATGTTTATTTTAGTCTTTAGTTGCTTCTTTGGTACAGATTAGTTTGGTTTAGTTTTCTCTTACTTGTGATCTTCATAAAGAAAGATAAAGATTATGATCTGCTCAGAGATAAAATATGTATATTTGGTGGGAATATATTCCTAATTTTTGCATGATATTTCAAAGATAGATGTGATATTTAAATATAATTGTTAAAGAAGAAAAATTGGCATTTGTTGAAAATGTAAAATAAAGAAAACAATTAGCTTATTTAGAGGATCGAAGGTGAGTAGCCTGAGAGAAAGGTAAGGTGAAAGTACTGCCCACTACAAGCCCTTTTTCTTCTTCTTCCACTTCTCCTTTTTCTTCTTACACCATGCCTTGGAGTGAGTGAGGGAGCTTTTCTTGGAGAAGCTCTTGTAAGAGGAAGTCCGTGGAGAAAGCTTCTTGGAAGAGAGCTACATCTCTTCTAATAAGGTAGGAAAGCTTCTTCACTCTTTGGGGAAAGAGAGTGGAGATCGGAGCTTCGAACTTCGCCCGATTCTCCTTGTAGAGGAGAGCTTCTTCATTCATTGGGAATGGAACGGAGCGAACTTTGTCGGAGCAAAGCCGAAGCTCAGAACAACCTAAAAGAAAATTTTGATCAACTGTCACGGTGGATAGAACTCCTCTGAACTCTTCCTCTTTCATTCCTAGTGCCCTTAAGTCCGGATGTTAGAGGATTTAGGTTAGATTTTTTGGGCTTTGAGAGAAGCCCCATAAAATTAGGTGTTTTGCCCCTGCGAATCCGTAAGCATAACCTCCCTCTTTAGAACCTCAACCTAATCGTTCAGAAGACTTGCAACACTGTGGTCATTCTGTGGTTTCATCACTCGTCGAATGTGATGAAGCCATTTTGAACTAGAAAATGAGTAGTTTCTCGATCCTTGTTCCCTAGATGACGAAGGCTATGTCCATACGAGAAATTGTTCATTTTTTTGTGAAAATTTTCTCATACAGAAAAGCTTTTTCACTTACTGATTCGCTCTAGGTAAGCCCTCTGTGCACTCTGTTACTGAGAGTGACAGAAGGTATTTAAGACATTGTCACCTCCCCTAGATCCCGTGAGATCTCTAGGATGAGCTCGATCTCATCGTCTTGATTGATCGAGCCTCATTTCATGCATGTGTTCGCATTCACACGGTATGTTTTGCATGAATTTCAAAGTCTGCATTAAAAATGCCAATTTTATGCATGTTATCCACCTGATTAGCTCGATCGACATTCTATGTCGGCTTATCTGATGGACCGCCACAAGCTCAATTGGATTGACCAACCATTGCTCTTTGATCTGTATCCCATGTCAGTCTGATTAACCATCCCCTTGTCACATTTGACCGACCGGCCGCCCTCCAACCGACCAATTCGATTGTCCTTTTTCGTCGGCTCGACTAGTCGACCACTACTTGCCTAATCGGCTTGACCGACCATTCTTCCTCAATTGAACGCCCACGAAATTCTGATCAAACTTCTTTTGTTGCTTCTGTCGTCTTGATAGAACATTTTTCTTCGACTCGACCAGTTGGCTGCCATCGGCCCGATTGGATCAACCAATCATTTTTTCTCGATCAACCGCCCATGCCGGTCTAATCAACCAACGACCATCACTTCGACCGATTAGCTGCCCACATCCTGTTTGGTTTAATCGATCTTTTTATTAAACGTTAATTCATGCTTCTTTTGTAGTGTTTCTTGCTTAGAAAGATTGTCTCGAGATCAATGTCAAGCCTCGAGATTTGTGTATGTGAAAATTTGTTGATGACTTATCACCACTATTATTGTGTTTAAAAAAGTGAAATACATATTTTTCAATCATAATTAGATTTATATCACCTAAGCATTACAAATGTAATTATAAAGTTATAGTTTTTAGATATGTAAATATATAAGTATTAAGTGGTATGCATGTAAATTTTACAAAATTGCGAGCAAAGCAAGCCAATGTCACACAAACCAAGTAAAACTTAAAATGCTTGCTGAATTTAATAAAATATATATATATATAATAAGCATTAATAAGCTTACAAATAAATTGACGGATTTTGTGTTTTTTTTAATTGCTTTTTATAAAAATGCGGATTTTTAAAATTTGTCAAAAACCATGTGATATATATATATATATATA